TCAGACTTTTTTATGCAATTGTTTCTGAGATATTGGCATTTTGGTGAAAGCTTGGAATTCAATCATGAATTCGCCATATTGCTTGCCACTTTAGGGGGTGGTAACATTGTAACAGCTTGCCAGTTAATGAGTTAATAGAATTGTTCATTTGCGGGAACTTTATCCTTAATGTAGCTCCTTCCAATACGTTTTTGACTATTTCTAGCTTTAAAACGTTCCTGCATAAGATTTACAAGGACCTTCTTTCTAAGATATTTGATCCAGATTTGACCTGTACTTACTCGCTGTATAGGACGTGTTCATGTCATAGTCTATGTATTTTTAATCTTACTTAACTTTATATTGTTATTTTTGTATTTTGGCCTGACACCTAGCATGGGACACCGTCCCATTCGTGTCTAGCCTTATTTGGCTGTTACCAAATTAAAGTTGTTAAACATTTCTACATACATACATACCATGCAAACCATACGCATGGTCAATGACATCACAATACAAGTTTTAAATATGTTACCTTCTACCATGTATCACACAAAAGTGAGGCTGATCAGACAATATAGCAACAATAATGAAGAAACCTTGTTTTTTATGTTGTATCACATAATTTTTGGTAACATCTATTGTTGGAAATATGCTAACGATCTTTTTAAATACAATAGCATATTGTTTTATCCATTCTTTTATTTGAAGTTATCTTCTCATAATTTTTTTGTGTGGAAAGGTGCCTGGAAGGGAAGTACATATATATACACATTTTGCATTATCATGACAGAGGTAAATACATTAAAGTCATACAAGTACACATTTACGTCAAAATTTAAAAATAAAATGTCCACATAAAGATATCATTAAGAAAAGTAAGGTACACATATGGTATACTACCAAAAAACAACTATACAGTTTATATTTTTCTTATGTTTACGTTTTCTCAAGATCCAATTTGCACAGCAGAATAGTGTCTTATTAAGTCAGATTGACTTGGCAAACCTCACCAGGCTACAGGTATTCTGTATACAGTATATACATGTTATGTGGCCAAAGGGAGCTCAAATCCAACAGGCCAAAAACCCAAATCCCATTGATTGTTGTGGAAGAGAAGTTGGATGTGAGATACCCCCACAATCATGCCTTCAATTGTGGAAAAAATAAATCACAGAATTAAAAAAAATCACCCAGATAGCCCAACCTACATACAGTGTCAAATGAACACTGAAACGAAGTATGATGTCCAGAAGATAAAAAGGATCTATGAAACTATATTGAAAGCAGTTAATATAGTGGGATAAAATGTGGTAAATGATGGGCATCCCATATGGGTTTTAAACAAAGAGATTGCCATCAATCAATATGGGAACTTGGTCAATAACATAAAACAACATGGTTTGGCTTTGTTGATATATTACAAGCCTGCATGGTGTGGATACACACTCAGAGTAACATCACAAGCATCTTATTCACCTGAGTACACTACACCAACGCAGCAAATATAATTGATCTTTCCTGATGGCTGTCAGTGCTGTATATTGATAAGAGAGCCAAATACGACTCGAAATATACTTTATTTGAAATAGTTAATGGTTCATGATGTCGCACTTCATTACATTATCTGCTCATTATTAGGCACTTTTAATTTATGCCTACGGTGGAAAAGAGTTTGTAGACAATTTTGTTGCAAAACACATGCCCAACGCTTTCTGGCACATGCCCAACCCTTAACTTTTTTAAAATTTTAAGTGTGTGAAAATATGCCATTTTCAAGGGGCATTTCCTCCCAAGGAAAGACATGTATATCTCAAATTTTCTTCCTTCTCAGCAAAGCTGTGTTGCAGTGAAACATTTCTTTTTAATATGTCTCAAAGAAAATATACATCGTTCATGGTGAAAATCCCTAACGCAAACTGTAGAAATCCTGTTTTTCACTTAATTAACCATTTAGGACGCAATTTCACCATGAAGGACCTGTTTTTTGTTGTACGTATATTAAGCGCATATGTTAAGCTAGAAAAGGGGAACATTTTGACTAAATTTGGGCTTGAACCCTCTAACTGCTGGCCCACAAGATACATATTTCCAAAATGGAAGGCACAGAGCTTATGTATCTGTATATTTTCTGGCACATGCCCAACCCTTAACTTTTTTGAATTTTTTGAAATTTTAAGTTTGTGAAAATATGCCATTTTCAAGTAGCGTTTCCTGCCAAGGAAAGGCATGTATTTCAAATGTTCTTCCTTCCCACTAAAGCCATGTTGTAGTGCAATATTTCCGTGTTGATATACGGTATGTTCCAGAAAATATGCATCGTTCATGGTGAAAGTCCCTAATGCAAACTGCAGAAATCTTGTTTTTCGCTTAATCAACCATTCAGGATGCGACTTCACCATGAAGGACCTATTTTTTTGTTATACATATATTAAGCAAATATGTTCAGCTACAAAAGGGGAACATTTTGACTGAGTTTGGGCTTGAACCCTCTAATTGCTGACCTACAAAATGCATATTTCCAAAAAAAGTATGACATCGAACCTCGGTTAGATTTAACTTTTTAGGGTTGAAATAAAGTGCACATGGTAGTAGAAGTACCTACTTAATAAGGAAGTACCTACTTTTCCTTGAAGATATGGAAACACAAAATGTTTTCCTGTTGCAGTAGAACATTTCTTGTTTTGTATGTTTAACAAAAAATAGGTCCTTTGTGGTGAAAACGCGTCCTGAATGGTTAATTAAGCGATTTCTTCAATTTGCGCTAGGGTTCATTATATATTTCTTGATCATATATTAACACGAAATGTTGTACTACAACATGAGTTTACCCCCTTGAAAATGGCATATTTTCACATTTTGGGACGCATTTTAAACACAAAGTACGATCATGGTTCCTGTTTTTTGCGATAATGCAGAGCTGTAATCTCGTCGTATATCTAAATCTTTTTATTTAGGTTTTTACTTGACCAAGTGTTATATGTTATATCTCATAATATATTCATGCACGCCTATATATATATAATTAGTATTTCTTAGTTACCATGCCCTGTCACTTAAATACCCTAATTAATTATATAGATAGTTCATTTATTGTTCTTCTTAGATACTTTGTTCCTGAATCTTTCTGATCTTCTAAGAGCACTCGTAGATGGTGATACCGTGGGAATTTTAGTTCCTTGCTGTTGTGGTATTGGGTGTGGTGATACGGATGGTTGCAGTGGTGATTCAGGTAGTGTTCGGCTAGAGGGTGGTTCAGCATAGGGTGGTTCAGCGTCTTCTACTTCCCCTTCCAATTCTTCTTCGTCAACGCTTACTTCCTCTTCTTCTTCATCTGGTTTCAGAAATTTCTTAACATGACTGGAGTTTCAACGGTAAGTCTTTCCACTGTTATCCCTCATGATGATCTGAGAACCTTTGACTTGAACAATTTCGAGAGGATCCAGTCGAAAATTGGTTGAGCATTTGTTCTTATGCTTCTGTTGTAGCAAAACAAAGTCTCCTTGCTTTAGATTTTTCTTTTTCGCTTCCCTCCCCGTGTCTGCATACTGCTTGTATTTCTCTTTCGTCATACGATCAGTTTTCCGCAGTTTGTCATCATCAACTTGTTTCTTACCAGTGATGCTTGGAATCTTGGTACGTAATTCTCTATTCATCAGAAGTTTGGCAGGGGTTTCTTTCGTTATTTGATGTGGTGTACTCCTGTAGTTTCTCAACATTGTTGGTAATGTGGTACGCCAGTCATTGCTTGCTCTAGAGATGTTAATACATGCTTCAGTAGAACTTAGTTAAACCGCTCCACCTGGCCGTTGGCTTGGGGCCAATACTCTGTAACGGTACATAGGTTTACTCCCCAGGACTTGAGCGTTTCCCGGAATTCTTGTGATGTAAAATAGGATGCATTATCAGACTTTATTTCTTCTGGATAGCCATGTGTTGCAAAGACTGAATCGAGCCACTGAAGTATATTTTCTGAAGTTACTGTTTCAAAATTTTGACCTCCGGCCACCTTGAGTAGTAATCTGTTAGAACAACAACAAATTCTCCAGTTGGAAATGGTCCGCACACATCAATTGCGAAATGGGTCCAACATGCATTGGGAAGTTTGGTGGGACATACTGGCTCTGGTCGTTCAGGTTTCCTGATAACTGGCATGGATGGCAGGTTTTGATGTGATCTTCAATGTCTTTATCCATCTTGGGCCACCACAATTTGGAACGTATTCGTTGTTTGCATCTTGTTATACCAGCGTGCATTTTCATGTGCCAGGGCAATTGCTCGAGGTTGGAGTTTAGCAGGTAAGACAATTCGATTTCCTCGTAAAACAATTCGATTTCCTCGTAAAACAATGTCATCGGTTATAGACAACTCGTCTCCAACCAACTTGTAATCTTGAGGAAGTATACAACTTTGATTATTGATTAAACTCTCTCGGATTTGTTTCATCTCTGGATCAACTTTAGCTGTTTCTCTGATTTCTTCTGTGGACATTGTTATTCCAAATAATGGACAAAGCGATCTCCGCATGCTTCCATATTGCTCCGTGGTGTCTTGGTTGGAAGATGGGAAAGGGGATCAGCTATATTCAGCACTCCTGGTTGGTATATGACATCAAAATTGTACTCTTGTAATCGTGAGAGCCATCTTTCGATTCTGGCTGGTGGAGGCTTTCCATGACTTTGGCTGGCTGGTGGAGGCTTTCCGTCAACTTTGGCTTGAAGATAAGCTTGAGTGGGCGATGATCTGTTTCCAACTCGAAACGTTTCCCATAAAGGTAGAGATGAAACTGCTCGCAACCGAAAACAATGACTAGTGCTTCTTTTTCGATATGCCAATATTTCATTTCTGTTTCCGTAAGCGATCAACTTCCGAATGCAACTGGTCGATACTCAGGTCGATACTCAGATGAATCTGGATGCTGCTGCAGTAAAACGGCTCCGAGTGCCCTAGTGGATTAGAACTGGTGCACTCGAGAGTGCTTCTTTCAACTACTGAAAACTTTCATCCTGTGCTTTATCCCAGTGGAAAGGCTGATTTTCTTTTGTTAGTTGGCGTAGAGGGTAGGTTACCGAACTGTAATCTGGAATATATCTTGAACAATAATTCACAAGTCCTAAGAAAGATCGTACTTCTGCTGCTGACTTAGGTTTTGGGGCGTTGGCTACCGCTTCGACCTTTTTCTTGTCAGGCTTGTATTCCTTTCTTTGAGACTATGTGACCAAAAACATTGATTTGTTGCACTGCGAATGAACATTTCGCAAACTTCAAAGTGATTCCGTTTTCTTCGAGTGTTCCCAGAAGCTGGTCTAGCTGTTTGAGATGCTCTTTCTTATTCTTCGACCATAACCATATGTTGTCGGATATATTCTGGCAATTTCTTTGATGACCTGGTTCATTGCTTCATGGAAATATTCTCGAGATGGACAGGCACCCATTATCAATCGCTTAAATCTGTATGGATCATCATCTGGCGTCGGGAAAGCTGACTGGACGTCGGGATCGATTTCCATTTAACTTCTTTGTCTTTGAGATTACCCATTCCTTCGAATACCTTTTTGTGCTTATTTAATGCTGCTGATACATCTGGATCAGGATGATTGACAGAGACAGAACAAACTTTCAGATTGAGTAATCCACGATCGGTGGATGTTTGGTAGCCGATCAGACATGTACTGTTTGTACTTGCGACGAGAAATGTACTTGTTGTACCTGAACTTGCTGTGATTTGTGCTTTGAATTCACCGATTAATTCCAGAGGGGTATTTGTTCCGTACGGAAAGACTTTCTTGTGTGAGGATTGTACCCAGATGTTTGGATTCTTTTTTTTGATTTCTTTGAAAACTGACTTATTAAGGAGGTTTACTGAAGATCCTGTATCTACGATAACTTTGATTGCAACATTTTCGACTGTGATTCTTGTCTCTGCCGGTTTAGTGCTGGAGTTGATTACATAGGCAAATTCTTCATCTGTATCGTCGAGGTAGTCCTGACGTGTTTGTGTGACTCCATTTACTTCTTGCCTGGAACTTTGTCTCTGACATTGGTGATTTTGTTGTGCTTTTGACAAACAATGTTTTGCAAAATGTCCTAATTTCCCACACGCATGACATTTTTTTCCTCTGGCTGGGCATGACAACTTGCCTTCTTTGTGCGGGAATGGTCCCCCACAATTGCGACACTTTCTTGAACTTTGATCGTGCTCTCTCTGTTTACATGCTTGATCGGCGTCGTTGTTTTGACGTGCTTGGAAACGGCGCTGTGGTTTTCGATGGCAAGGTCGATCTGAAAGGTGATTTGTCGATTGGTTAGACTCCCGATTTGGTTCTAGTAATTTAGCATTCATGTCCGTCTTTTCCAACATCGAACCGTACGTGAGAAGAGCTTTTAAATCTAGTTGTTCTCGAAGCACTTTTCGCTGTATTCTCGCGTCAGATGTTGTATGAATAATTTGAGAGTCTATGTCAGTAAACACACAGATATCTGCTTTTTGTTTAACCGTTATATAAATTGTTGATTGTTACGTTAGTTTCTTGTTTTATCTGTCTAAATTCGTAGATTGCCATGTCTTGATTTCGTACAGGGTCAAAGTATTCGGTTAAACTTTCCAAAGCGCTGTCGTAGTTTGTTCCCGTGTCAGGAAGCGTGTTGAATATGTCATTTGTTGCCTCTCCGACATATGTGAGTAATAGACCACGTCTAACAACTGGCTCGAACTCTTGTAAACTAATCAACAGATTTTCGAATCTTCGAGACCATTTCATCCACCGTACAAGCAAGACTTGCTCGATCGCTGTGTGGATCAAACGGCGGAAAACCACTTCGAGGGATTTGTTTACGGCAAACATTGAAGTTGGCGTTGTTGTCGAACTCGTTACTGCTGCTGAATTTGAACCTTCTTCTGACTCACGCATGTTTAAAACAACTTTTTATCCTTGTCGCCACTGTAATATCATCGTATATCTAAATGCTATTTATTTAGGTTTTTACTCGACCAAGTGTTATATGTTATATCTCATAATATATTCATGAATGCCTGTATATACATAATTAGTATTACTTAATTACCATGTCCTGTCACATAAATACCCTATAAGGATATGACAAGAGCCAAGTAGGAATTCTAAATGAAATGTGTTAAATGTAGCGTCTTGTCAATTTGTTAATATCTACTGTTCTTCAGTTCAACGTCTTTCATTAGAGGAAGTCCACTTGTGCATAGAACAGGTTACAACCCAGCTGGTGGAAATATATAAAGGGAAAATTAAAAGGCATGACACATTTATGGGCGGTTGGAAGAGCAAAATAGATTTAATGTGGAATGCGGGCATGGGACAGTTTAACAATAGTCAACATCATTTTATTCTCTACCACCTTGTTAAATGATTTACCAGAAAGCCGAAACAACAACGTGCTGTTGATTACGTCACCACGGTATTACGCTTAAACATTTCATGATTCACAAAAATAATAAAACTTTTTGGTAATTGTGTTAATAATTTCATTTGCATGTTCTATTTACGTGTCAATTCTTTTTAGAGCAAATCGGGCTGTCATATTGCAAAGACAGAAAATGAAAGTTAAATTGGCAAAGGAAGCCTCAAAGCAGGAGGCGAAGAAATTAAAAACAAATTGATAAAACATTTGAGCCCGATATCCCTACCTCAGACTCGCTGTGTACATCAACGGAATCTGAAAAATAGGATACCACTGATGTTGAAGAAGACAGCATTGGTCCAAAGATAATTGGGAAGTCGGCAATAAACAATGTTGTTGACAATGTGCCACTTTTCGCGCTGTTTTTGTCACACCTCACGAGCATGAGTGGAGGCAAGCGAGAAACAGATACACCTCCATATAATGTGTGCCATATAGGTCGCCTTCTCTATCAGGTGGACGAGACACTTGTTAACATGCATTACCTGTGGAGTGCAAAGTACTTGTCCAAAATTGAAAACAGTTCTTCGAGAACAACGCGATGGCAAATCCACCCCGCACTCCCTCGACACTGAAAGCCTACGTAGCAGCCCTCCGCTTATTTTACAAATTTGTAATAGCCAGACAGCATACAATCACCAATGAACTTCACATCACCATCAACACAGAGTTGCTCGATGAGCTGAAGAGCTGTGACACCTTGCTCAATGGCTGGCGGGCAAGTCTATCCACAGGCATACAGCCAAGGAAGAAGGTACAGCGCAAGCAAGATTTCGATGAGCGCCTTACTTTGGAAGAGTACAGAGAAATTGCAAATAACAAAGACAGCAAACAAGCAGCGAGAAATCTCTTGCGCCTGGAGAACTCTCTGATAACAGGAGTAACCTGCGATGAGTTTGCCCGGTATTGGGATTGTATCATAGTACGCCTGCTCTGCCGTTCGGCACAACGCTCTGATTTTATTCTCTACCACATTGTTAAACGATTTACCAGAAAGCTGAAACAACAACGTGCTGTTGATACGTCACCACGGTATTACGCTTAAACACTTATGATTCACAAAAATAATAAGCCTTTTTGGTAATTGAGTTAATAATTTCATTTGCAGGTTCTATTTCCAGAGGCTGTGATAAGGATCTACATGAATTACATGCTGATCACATATGAAGAGGTGAAAGAAGCACTCTTTGAGAACATCATCACAGCAGAGGTATTTGAAAAATAAGTACACAAGTTAGTTAAGATTGATTTATTTGATGTAATTAATTTTTTCCATGTTGTAGACTGAAATAACGTTCGTCGACGATGCCGATGTTGAACAACTTCTCATAGATGGAGATGTTGTTAATGAAGAAGACATAAGTAGAGTAAAATAGGCAGTTAGCACAAGTGTTGCACTTATATTTGATTGTTTATTTTTGCACTTTTCAGACGAGGAAGAAGACAGAGTGCAGTCCAAGAGAAGAGAAGGTAATTTTTTTATAAGAAAATAATATATAATCTAATATACCTTTCCCCACACAACGATTTAGCTTTGTTTATTTTTGCAGTCTTTGGAAGACGAGGAGGCCATGAAGATCGAGGACGAAGTACCCAGCGACATTGATGAATATCAACACAAGGAACCACGAGAAGAGGAAGTAGTTTTTTAATACGAATACTGAAAATAAATCAATAATTTAGAGTATCTTTCCTCACAATACAGTAAGCATAGCCATATCTAAAACATTTTGCTAATGTATATATTTTTCAGGACATCAAAGATGACTACGACAACAACAGTGATCAATCGAATCGCCTGATTGTTGAAAAATTGAAGGTTTGTCTTTTGTCACTAACTCAGTTCACCATTAACTTTAAAAAAATAGTAATTTTAACCCTAACATTCTTTTTTACAGAACAAAAGACGCTTAAAACCCTGCCCTTTTTGTGGAAAAGAGTACAAAGTTTTGACAAAACATTTGGTTAACAAGGACAAACTTACCAACAAGAGGCGAAGAAGAATCTGCCCACCGTCGCCCTGTCCAGAAAAATGTAACCCAAGCCCGCACCCCTATGTGTTGCCCAATCAAGGATTGCCACTCAAAAGTGTGCAGAATAGATGTGCACTTGAAGAGTGTGCATGGATTAAAGAAGGGGCAGGAGGAGTATGAAGAGTAAGTATTCACTATATTATAAACTTCTTCGATTGAGTGTGTGTTAGGGTTAGCGACAAGTCTAGTGTGTTGGAAATCATACTTGTATGTGTCGATTCTTTTTAGAGCAAATCGTGCTGTCATATGGCAAAGACAGAAAATGAAAGTTAAATCGGCGACGGAAGCCTCAAAGCAGGAGGCAAAGAAATCAAAACAAATTGATAAGACATTTGAGCCCGATATCCCTACCTCAGACTGAGACTCGCCGTGTACATCAACGGAATCTGAAAAAGAAGATACCACTGATGTTGAAGAAGACAGCATCGGTCCAAAGATGATTGGGAAGTCGGCAATAAACAATGTTGTTGACAACGTGCCCAAAGTCAAAAGTCAGCTAAATTTTCTACTTCTATTTACCCCTTTGTGGCTTTTTTCGTGCTTTCACTATCCTTATCTGCCAATAATTTGGAGAGTTCACTTTCATTCAGCGAAGCAAATCTGCTGTAGACCACTGTTTGTTTGGTTTTTTTCGCACGCTTATAGGTTCAAGCTTTTGGCTGCGCAAGGGTTTGGGCACGAGAGAGTCCAATAATTTTTTTTTTCGATGCAAGTTCGATCAGCGGAAAATACGTAATAAATGCCAAATACTGAAAATTATCCGGTGCTTTCTGACCAATTAGAAACAATAATACATATTAAATGTATAATAAGACCCAATATTGAAAAAAAATAATTAAATTCATTTGATATTTTTGTGATAGGTTATTTCAACACCATCAACTTTTATTTTTGGTGGTGGTTGAACTCTTTTTGGCTTAGTAGTTATAATTTGTTTAATACCTTGTAAAATAGTTGTTGTAATAATTTCGTTTGGATACTTTAATTAGATGATTTAATTTATTCCTGTATAATTTCAATTTTGCTAGGACTTCGTTTGATCTTGTCCTAATAAAGTAATAAAGTTTTTAAATAGTTTATTTTTCTTCTTTATAGCAGTCCTAATACCAGTTGTAATCCAGGGTTTTTTCCTGCTGTTTAAATTGCTTTCGTGATAATTTTCGCAAAGGGATATGCTTATCAATAATTGTCAGCAAGGCGAGGGTTTCTGCATGCATATATTTTCTAGCTAGTATTAAGTGTTGCCAATGTTTGCCCGAGTCTTGGTGGTCAGGGTACTCGTGACATCAATTGTGGACAGCAGTTTTCAATTTATTCAAGCACCTACAAACAAGTATTAAGTGTAGATTTATACTAATTTGGTGTTCAAATGGAAATGAATCATTTGCACCGTATTGGTGTTAAGCAATACTTGTTGGTGTAATTCTAACTTGCGGCTAAAGACAGGAATCTAGTCCGGCTTCTGATTGGCTAATACTGACTTCGGAAATAGGCGGAAATCAGATTGTCGGTTCATATTCGGAGGTTTTCCGTATTGATAATCGGTTCAATATTGTGTTCTACTCGGAAATGTTAACATTGCAAAATCAATGTACATTAGTATTTGTTTTGAAATAATACGTATGGAAATAAATAAATATTTATCTTAATAACGCCCATACAGCAATTTACAGTATGAAAATATTTCCAGAAATTATGCCTAAACTAGAAGTTACTATCGCAAGGGAAGTGCTGCCTCAACACCAAAGTCCTGGGGGTTGATTATACCAATAAACTTCATTTACTTAAATTGCCTTATACACAGGGTATGTATGAATTTATTTTGTTTAAGAAATATCGAAATTAC